AGAGATTTTTTAAAGTTGTATTGAATCTAATGTTACAACAGCTGAGATATTTGCATAGTGTTGGTGAAAATGTGAAAAAGCTGATATTTAAAATCAATTTTGCATATATTGGTATGAAACAACCTTTAGAGGCTATTGTATGATATTGTAGCCCTTTTCCAGAACTTGTTCGAAATCTCTGCTGTGGTCACAAGGTTAAATTAAAAACATGCAAACTAACAAGCAAAGCAAACCAGGGACTCTCTAGTTATTAAGATATGAAAGATGGGATTTATGGTGAAGCTTTGCTGGAAGAGTCTCATGTTCTCCCAAGAAATGTGTTCCACACTCAAGTTTAGAATGTTCTGAAGAGTGCCCATCTTTCATATTTTTGAAACAATATAACTGTTGTTTGGAGAATGTCAGAATGTGAAGGATTTGCAGGTGCAAAACCATCAAGTGAGTAGTTTCTGCTTTTTCTGCTGAACATCTGTTTTCATTTGGAATTATTAATTTGTGAAAATAGATCATTTTAGTGGAACTTATGTCTGACTTTGAATGTGTATTCCTGCTATAAGAAATTACTAAATTTACTATTCACTTTCAAATTAACTCTAAATTTAAGAACTATATTCGTTTAAACAAAAAATAGCTGAACAGTTTTATTGGTGACAGGTGAACTTTTATGAAAGAACACTAGTAATTGGTTATTAAGTGTTTCCAAATGGTTTTCCTAGGCTTAAAACCCCTAGCTACTACAGAATTGTGGCCCATTTCTCTTTATTCCATCCTCCTGCTGCTGCAAAAAAATGGAGGTTTTTCAAGATTCAAATAACAGTACACCATTTTTTTTCATTTATTTATTTTTCTCATCTCTTCTGTCAAACATGCTATGTCCCACCAAAGTCCTAACTTCTGAAACTGTCTGCACATTTTTATATGTAAATCCTGAAGTTTACCCAGATAAGCAAGTTTGATCTGTTATTAGTTTCTTTGGAAAACACATGAAAAGTCCTGACCATATCCAAAACCAACGTCATTATTTGAATGTCTGTATGCTTTTTGTATGGCAATCAGGACCTTCTATGAACTTCATTGTTTTATAATGTAGCATTTTTTCCTTAACTTACTATTCACATGTTTTGTTGGCATTATTATATGTACCGTGTTACTCAATTGTGTGGTTATGACTGTACGTCAGCTTCCACCAGCACTCAACTGGACTGAGTAAGTATCTCACTGGTTGTATGTTTCCTCTTTTTCCGTGGATATTTACACACAGGACTGAAAATTTTAAATAATGTGGTGATCTAATTCAGGGCCTTGAAAAATTTCACTCAGTCAGACCTCTGAGGAAGATTGAGGATTGTTATTATATCTCCCAGTCTTTGGTGGAGCTTCAGTGCCTTTTCTCAGAGGCTCACACCATGTGCCCTTTCCTCTGTGTTGACTAACTTTGCCATCTGCTGTGACATAGGAGATTACCCCATTTTTTCTTTTAAGGAATGAGCTTTTTAGAGAGACTGTGGGGTAGAATTCTAACTTAATATCTCTCCTTCTACAGCAATAACCTGAATGTCTGTTATGGTTGGCTCATGCAAAAACTAGAAAGGGTTAAGTGTCCATTCTGTTCTT